TGGGGAGGATCGATCAGTCGCGCATGTTTTCACCGTTGCTACTCTTCTCGTCATCATCATCCTCGTCCTCGTCCTCGTCCTCTTCTTCAGCCAATAACTCATCCAGCATACTGGTCTTTCCTCCACCTTCCTTGTTCCTCCAGGCAAGCGCATTCTGAATGAATTTGTACGTCGCCGGGTTGGCTTCGCGCTCGTCGTCCGCAAACAAAATGTCCCAGTCTGGAAAAAAAGAAACACATGTCAGCTTGTTTCGATAGGGGTGGAAGACGAGGCAGGGTAGGTGTCGAGGTAATAGGTTGCCATCACGGCACTCGCCACTTTGCCTCTATTCGAGGACAGCGTACTCGCGAGCTCGAGGATCCCAAATAACTAGATATCTAGCATGGAGAGGGATGGTAAAGCGTGTTGGATAACTTAAACCTGCTCCTAGCTTGCTGTATGCACCGAGCAGCAACGAGGACGAGGATAACAGGCAATCAAGTGAACGATACGCACATTCTTCCATGTCTCCAGTATCGAGCTTTCTCCATCTCTTGGTAACTTGCGGCATCCGTGCTTGAACGCGTTCAACGTCCTCTTCGGTTCCATTCTCCTCTTCAAACTTTTTCCATCCCTCCAACAACACCACGCGCTGTGGTAGTCGTAAAGCGAGAGGTAGGGGAAAAGAAAAGTCAGCTCTTCTCATGCTCGTGTACGTGAATAGTGGCGACGCTCACCTCCTCTTTGAGCCCCTTGTTCTTCATCTCCTTGTAGCCGCGTTCAAACACCCTCCTCGCCTCGTCCAAATCCCCAGGTAACCCCTCCTCCTCCTCCTCTCCTTGCTCACGACCCGTCCAACTCGTCAGCATGGATCGCATTCGCATCTCTCGAATCAGCCCTACAAGACGTTCCTCGCGTACGAGCCATTTACGAGCTCGGTGTCTCCCAAGCCACCCTATCGATGCCCGAGCTGCTGTGGAAGAGCTATATCGACTTTGAGGTCGTGGAGGGTGGGTATGATCGGGATAGGAGTAAGGTGCGCGCGTTG